ATCTACAGTTAATATGAAAATTTTCTAATGGACCCCAAGATGCAATGAACATAGAGAAAAATAAAAAACAGTGATATTCGGAGATTTTAACGCATATAGGAAATATGAGTATACACATTTAAAAATGGCAATTTCACTGACACTCAATAAATCCTAACGAAAAAAATCCACAGTGAATTTTGCACTCATTGTATCTCCAGACTAAACTACACGTTTTCCTTCACAAACCACAACACAAGTACACTTAACAGAGTATACATTTTCAATCATAGACTACATAATATTTGCAAATAGAGAGACAATATAAAAATAAGGGCTTTAACATCGTCAAATAGAGGATCAGATTAAAAACTAGTCCTAGTTAAATTTGGATTAAGATACATTATTAAACTACCAAAACCGCCAAAATATTCTGAAAAACTAAATGTAGAATTTCTAGAAAACCAGAATATAAAATGTTTTCACAGAAGAAGGTTCAGAGCAAACGCAGTAATAAGATAAAAAAATCCGAGGGTGATGTTGTGCCCTTTTGGTTATTATCACATTCTAATATGATTTTTTTGTGGTATAGTAGTAGAAATATGATGGAGATATATATGTAGATGATGTAATTTTGCGTCATGGACCAGAAGCACCAAATACATTTTGGATGGAAATTAACAGGAAATAAGAATCAATTAAATTCACCTTAAAAAAAGAATATAACAACTCAATTAATTTTCTGAATGTGTTAATTACAAAGAGTAATACAGGATATTAAGAAATAATCTACAGAAAACCAACCCACAATAACAGATATTTAACTTATCGCTCAAACCATAACATGATTATCAAAAAGTGAATTATCTAATAATTTAATGATAGAGCCCAAAAGACCTGCCCGAATTTAAATACATTACGTGTTTGTTTATAATAAAGATGTTTTTACTTTGAAAAATTAAAGGCAAATATCGAGCACAATTTTAATAATCAAATCTTGCCCAAGTACTTTCGCTTTCTACAGCATCATCAGGGGCATTTCATCAAATTTGGGCTATCCAGCAAGCGAAGAATGTAGTAAACATAAAATTAAACATAAATTGTACATAACACTACACTAAAACAAGGACAAACAGTTTAAAATTATTTAAAATTATTCTATGCTCTACATTCTTGTCGGCAACACGAGAGAGAATCATTCTCTCTCCTGTTGTCTGATTCCTGATCATTTTAAGCGCATAGAAATCTCTGAAAATATGGTTATAATCTACGTTAAATTGTTTCTGTATCTGTATATACAGAGTGGCCCAAAAGTCTGGAAACGACCAATTATCTCGTAAATTGCTAGTCATAATTTTACAAAATTTGAGATACACCTTTTTTGGGATACGGAGATTCCATATTTGATGTTTGCAATGTTGCCAGATTTGCCCTTTCTCTTATATTATTAGTAACTTTGGTTTTTCATATTCATCACCCTATAAATTCAGACATTATTGAAATGTCCTATTCAATACGAGTTTAAGCATATATAACACTTATGATTTTATGTAATCTGGAAGGTCTTAAATACATATAATAGTGCAAAGATAGAGGGTAGGAGAGGTCTCGGACGTAAAAAAATGTCATGGCTGCGCAATATTCGACAATGGATAGGAATCCACAGCTATGAAATGCTTCGCAATGCTGCTAAAAACAGAATTATTTAAACCAGATTATTTAACATCTCACCTGACGAGACGATGTACGGTGGACGCCTACGCAGAAATGCACGGCACCTTAAGAAGAAGAAGAATAGTGCAAAATATGTAGATTTTAGTTTGTAGTTTGACATTTGTTTACCATTTACATTATTAGCTAAAACTGCTAGTAGTTGTATTTCGAAAAGTTCTGCAAGATAAATTGCTTCTCTAAAATGGATCTTAACGAAAAAGAACGAATTACTATTCTAATGATAAGAGGGTACGGGGATAGAAGAAGATCTTATTATGAAGTAGCCAACTTGTTCAGTGATACTTTCTCAAACCGTTTTCCTAATTATAAGGCGAGAGTACAAACACTGTAAAGTGATTTGAGAAATCTGCAGAAGCAAAAGATAGATACCGATCAGTAGACCGACAAGATAATTAATGACAACAAAACTTTAGATATAATGCAAAGTTTTGTTAAATAAATGTAAACCATACAAAACTAACTTATTGCAAAAATTAAGTGAAGATGACCTTGATCATAGATTAGAGTTTACTGAGGTAATGATGAATAAAATTGAAAATAATGAAAATTTGTTAACAGAATGTTTTTCCGATGAAGCAACCTTTACACTGTGTGAAAGTGTAAATCGACAAAATTTAAGATACCGGAGTGACGTAAATCTACACTGGATGCGTAAAAACCATACCCAGATACCACAAAAATTAAATGTATGGTTAAGTATAGTAGGTGCTCAGTTAATTGGGCCATTTTTTATTGAAGCAAACTTAACGTCAGATAGTGACGAAATGTTGCTTAAAAATGAAATTGTACCTACACTGTAAAATTTGTTTGGAGCCAATTTTAATCAGATACGGTTTCAGCAAGATGGAGCTCTAGCTCATTTTTGTGTGAATGTTCGGCGTTCTTTAGATGAGATATTTCCCAGACAATGTTTTGGTAGACGAGGTAGAATTGAATGGCCTCTACGTTCACCTGATTTCAATTCTAAGGAATATTTTTATTGTGGATAACTATAAAATTTAATGTAAAAAACTAAACCAGCCAGTCTGGTAAAGCTAAGGCAACGAATTATCGATGAATCTTAAAATATTTTCTAAGCAATCATGAAGAAATGTGGTCGACGCATTCTACTATCGATTAGGGTACTGTCTACTCACAAAAAGAGCACAATTTGAATACTTGATAAAGTAACCATTATATTGTAATTTATCAATTGTTACGTTTTAAGAGATAATTAGGCGTTGCCAGACTTCCGCTTTTTGTTTTTTAGACCTTTGAAATCATAAGCATTACATATGGTTAAACTCATATTAAATGGGAGATTTCAATGATAAATGAAATTATACAGGGTAAGGAATTTAAAAAACCAAAGTTACTAATAATATAAGAGACATGGCAAATCTGTTAACATTGAAAATATCAAATATGGAATCTCCGTATCCCAAAATAGTTGTACCTCAAATTTTGTACAATTATGACTAGCAATTTATATTTTTTTATACACTTCAAAAATACTTTTTTTCAATTATTTCAATTGTAATAAGCGTGTACAAAATCATATTAGTCTGCTTTAAGTTTTGGAAGAATATAGGCACTCTGATAAATACTTAGCCTCACCGTGGCGCCACTATCTAAAGAGAAATTTACTGTCGTGTAGTATATTCTCGTAGATAGTTATTGTCAAAATCTAAGCCAAATCGACTTTGATGTTTTGTTTTGATCGCGAGTGAAACAAGAGCGGTCCGAGCATTTTGGAAAAATTGGAATAATGCAATATCGGCCGGTGGTTGGATTCTTCGTTTTGAAAGCAAAATCACGCAGTTAAATCAATGAGCCCTTGGATGCTGTGTGCGGTGATTGTTTTTCTTTTTTGTTTCCTTTCCTTGTCCTTATCCCTTGTCAAACGGTCAAAAGTTGGTTAAACGAGTTTCATCGTGGTCACACGTCGGTTATCAAAAACTCCAAAAGTGGCTATCCAAATTCATGATGTTATATTGCCAGACTACCAATTAAAAGTGCACGAGCTGAAAAAGTAGGCATTTCAAAAGATGAGTTATATCTTGTAAAGAATTTTGGACACATTTTGAACTTTTAAGAAAGCTATAGGCGCGATTGGTGTCGCATTTGTTCTTTCCAGACAACAAGCGTAACCGTAAGATTACTTCAGAGCAATGTTTGGCGTTGTTTGACACTGATATCTATTAGAGACCAACGAAGAGTGTGAGTAGTGGACTTTAGCCGATGAACGTGCTTCACCGAAGAAAGTGAAGGCTGTTCTTTTAGTCCAATAGTTGATGGCCACCATTTTTTGGGATTCACAAGCTGTGATCTACATTGACTATATAGAAAACATCAAACCGGTCACAAAGCTCTATTGTGTCGAATTATTGGGCTTATTTGACCACAAATTACAGAAAAAATACGATCTTATTTGGCGAAGAAAAAGTGCCATTCTACTACTGCAACGCACCTCCTCCGTCGCCATGGTCAATTAGTCAATTGATCGAATTATGCTACGAACAGTATTCTCCAGGTACGACTTCGTTTTGTTTCCAAACTTAAAAAATCACTCAACGAGTAGAGATTTGAGCCGAATGCGGAGGTCATTGCGGCCATGGAGGCCTACTTCGTAGACCCTGAGAAAACATATTTTTTAATAGATTAATGAAGTTGAAGGATCGTTGAGTCAAATGTATCGAGGTAAAAAAAAACTATGTACAGAAATAAATCACTACTTTTTTGACATTTTTGTTCTTCACGTATATTCTAATAAGTTTCCACCCCTTGATTTGAATACGATTAAAATATTGAAAATAAAAATATTCTATATGTTCATAGATCTCAAGTTTCAATTAATTTTATTCAAATAGTTTTCTATGAAAAAAAATTTAAACTTAAATACTTATATTAAAATACCTTTGTTTCAAAAGCATTTCGATTTTTGCATGTAATTTACCTTATAATCAAATTGAAAATGGAAGCATAATTACCGATTTATTAATCTTGCTGTTTAGCTATTAAAAAATTGTAATTTTAGCAGGTGAACTATAACACGAACCTCGCTATATGAGTATTTTAAAACTTTGGTGGAAGTGATTTTTCAGTGTTATTGTTTAATTGCTTTACGTATTTTTATTTAAATGTTATATTTAATTTTAATTCAGTACATACATTAGTGATTATTAGAATAAGGTTTTGGTGTACAAAATGCTGAAGTAGTACATAACAAGATCAACATTTTGGTCACTGTATCACAAAATCACGTTTTTTCATTAAACAAATCACTTAACAAATAACAGTCTTTTCATTTAAAGAACAGAGCTTTGATCTTCCTTTTTCTCGTCTTTTTCTCCTTTCTCTCCTTTTTCCCCTTTCTCTCCTTTTTCTCTCTTCTTTGATTTCTTTCTTCTTTTCGAATCTCTTACTTGAGATCTTTCTAATAGGAAAAGAGCTTCATGAAAATCATCTGAACTTAAATTGGATTCCTGAACGTGAAGAACGGAACTAAGAGCTCCATCTGTGGATGATTTTGGAAACCTTGAATAAAAAAATAATGTAAGAATAGCATTTTTTTTAATTATATTAAATTGCATTGCAAAGCGCAGACGAAAAAATAAGACAAGATCATAAAAGAGTCACTGTCATATGTAATAAAATAAACTATATCGGTCAAATAAACTATATCGAGACATTCAAAAGAATCTTAATAATGGGTAGGTCATGAGTTCTATTAGCGCAAGTATAGGATTTTTCTCGATGATTCTTTGAATTTTATTATATTTATTTAAATTAAACTTTTATAAATTTATAAACTTTTTGTACGTAAATTAATTAAACTTTGATGGTACACAAGGCAAATATCGAACACAGTATTTAATTAAATCTTGCCCAAGTACTTTCGATCACAAGATCATCCTCAGGGGCATTTCGTCAATTGTGGCCTATCCAGCAATAATGGAATGTCATACATGTAAACTGGGACATAACAAATACACTAAAGACAAACAAACACTTTAAAATTTAAATTGGAGAAGCTACATTTTTATATTATAGAAGCCGGAGACAGAATCTCTGAATTCTGTCTCCGGCTTCTATAATATAAAAATGTAGCTTCTCCAATTTAAATTTTAAAGTGTTTGTTTGTCTTTAGTGTATTTGTTATGTCCCAGTTTACATGTATGACATTCCATTATTGCTGGATAGGCCACAATTGACGAAATGCCCCTGAGGATGATCTTGTGATCGAAAGTACTTGGGCAAGATTTAATTAAATACTGTGTTCGATATTTGCCTTGTGTACCATCAAAGTTCATTTATTCGAACATTCAACCTTATATCGTAAATTAATTGTTGTCCATTTTCCGTTTAAATATCATAGCAATGTTTTCTGCTTCAGCGGCAAAGGAAACTGCTTATGTCGATTTGTATTAATTTATTTGATTCTTTATCAGTAAGCGTTAGTCACATTTCAATGTAAAACTTTTTAGTGAAACAACGATCCTCAACTTACTGTAAATTTCAAATCATTCTAAGGTGAGTAAATGAATCAGTCATTGCACGAAAAAAATTATTTTGCTTCTTACATTGTTTTTATTTGATAAATTGCAATATAGTTTGCTCATATTTACAAGATTGTTTATGTAAACATTAGAAATATTAATGAATCCAAATGGAATCATTTGGTCATTATGGAGGTCTACAGATGCCATCATTGGGAAGTCGTGTGAATTTTATTTCTGTCAATAAAATACAAAAGTACAATATACTTTTTTATTTAAGATGGATCGTGTGTTTAAAAACTACCAAAACCAAACTTTATTTTCGGGAATTGCAAAATCTGTCTCAGGAAAAAGTAGTTGATATTCTTAACCACTCTGATATAAAATTTAATGTTGATAACGAGGAAGAGACTTTCGAAGAAGAAATGATTGAAGAAACTCAAATAGAAAAATTTTTGAAAAATATTGTTAAAGATAGCATAAACACCCAAGCTACGGAGAATATGAAAGAAAAAACTGTTGAAAAAAAAAACAGAAGAGCCACAGACAAGTCATGCCAAGAACAAAAAAAAAACAAAAAAAAAAACCAACCTGGACAGACAATGTAATTTATACAGTGATGATTTTTCGGTTGATGAAAATATTTATACGCCTTACCTATATTTTAAAATGTTTTGTGACAATGATATTATTCAAAATTTTGCTGATCAATCAAACATGTATTCTGTGCAAAATACAGTAAAAAAATTGATATAAATGCAGCAGAGATAGAGCGGTTCTTAGGCATACATGTATTCAATGGAATTGTTCGTGTTCCTTCGTATAGAATATATTGGGCAGAAGAAACGCGATATAATACGATAGCTGATATCATTTTACGTAATCGTTTTGATAAACTGCAAGCATATTTTCACGTCAACGATAATTTGAAAGTTTCGTCTTGCAACAATGACAAATTATATAAAGTAAAACCTTTCATTGAAGAAGCTTGACAAAATATAAATGAGATAAAACCTAGAAATTCAACAGCAATGATTTGTTTATTATACCATTCAAAGAACATAGTATTCTAAAGCAATATTTAAAAAATAAACCTTATAAATGGAGCACAAAAGTTTTTGCAAGAGAAGGAGGCAGCCACATACTATACGATTTTGAGATATATGAGGGGAACGGAAAAGTCCAAGATGAATTAGGTCTTAGAATTATTGGGGAAATAGTGCTGAAGTTGGTCAGAAATCTTCCAAACCACATCAAGTTCAAAATTTTCATGGATAATTGGTTCACATCTTAGAATCTACTTATTATTCTGAAAGAACGGGGCTTTCTTACTGCACGAACTGTAAAAAGTAGGCGGCTGGTAGGTTGTCTTTTTTCAGAAGACAAAGTTCTATTGGCAGAAGGTTGTGGATCCTCTGATGTAAAAATAGACAGCAATACTGCTCTTAAATGGTATGACGATAAGTCCGTCATATTAGCATCGAACTATATAGGTAAATATTGTCTTAATACAGTGAACAGATGGTGCAACAAGAGCAAAACCTATGTAGAAATCTAACGGCCAGCAATTGTTAAAGAACATAATATTTCGATGGGGGTGTGAATTTGCATGACATGCTTGTAGAAATATATAGAATTAAAATCAAATCAAAAAGATTTTATTTGAGAATAATATTTAATTCTATTGATACATGTATTGTCAACTTCTGGTTGCTGTACCAAAGACACTGCAAATAAAAACAAGTGAAACACATCACCCTTCTCCAATTTAAATCTCAAGTTAGACATGCGTTACTGAAAACTTGAAAATCCGACACGAGAAAACGAGAACGTCCTTCTCAAGAGAATACAGCCAAGTATTGCATCCTGCACCAGTGCAAGAAGTTCGATTTGATGGCATAAGGCACTGGCCACTACATAATCAAAATCGCACAAGGTGCAAAATATGTAAAAAAATTTACTCTAGAATAAAATTTTCTACGTGCAATGTTTTTTTAAGTTTAAACAATAATAAAACTTGTTTTTATAGTTTCCATGTACAAAATTAAATTGTTAATAGTATAAGGGCAATAATAAACGTAGATAATTCAGGTACCACCAATGCCACTTAATTCCAAATGGGATCGTTTTTTTGAGTTTGAAGACTCTAGGATGCAAAATTTTTACAAAAGTTATTAACAATTATTTTTTTTGTATCTTTTCCTATAACATACATTATTTTCAACAAACTTTATTTAAAAAAAAATAATTTGGGCTTGAAAGGGTTAAGCGCTATTTAAAATTTAAAGTACATAGTAAAGTTTGTAATAAGATAACGAACACAGGAATTGTGCTTTGTTACTTTATTCATTATAAGTTTTTTTAATTGGTTTTGCAAGCAAACAAATATATTTTTTTATAACGTACTTTTTTGAAAAGAGAAAAAAATTGGTTAATTTCGACCATAATATAATGGAAAATCGACCAAACACTCTTATTTAAAAATACATTAAATTTTAATATTTGAACATTTTATAGTAAGCATGAGTCACAAATATTGACTGACGCTTTTTCAGCTCTACTACAGTCAGCATGGGCCCATGTTGCACAAGAACGCCACCGCTACCAAATATTATAATCATGTCCAAATTGTTCACAAATGGTACATATTTCATCACCTTATTTTGTCTTTTTAACCGGAGTTTTTCCCATTTATTTGCAAACTTTTCTTGTAACCTTTTGTAATTTTAAAGTATTTTTTCCTTTTTTGCTACTTAATTTTGAGTTCAGTTTGATGGAGTAAATGGTAATATTTACAAAGGTTGTCTTGTCGTGGCAATATTTTTAACATTAATAGAAAAAAACTAACGGTTTTATTTAAATTTTAATAAAGTCTGCAGCAAATAAAGATATATTTATCATAATATATCATAAAATATATATCAGCAATTTTATCAGACCTACATCAATAGTCAGCGTTTCAAATATCTCATAATCAGAATATAAATCGGAAATCGAATTTAGGATTAAGCCTAAATCTGAGCTTTCTAAACGTTGCAAAGTAAGCAGACGACAAATGCAATTACATGGGGATTTATAATTGTATCTACGTCATGCCAATTTGTCTAGGCATATCAGCGAATGGTGGTATGTTGTAACGAAATCAAACCTAAACCGTCTATTTTATCTTATAAACAGTTTTAAATTTGATAAAAAGAAAACAAGGAAAGAAAGACAGTAAGATGATTATTTTGCGCCTACACGCAAAATATGGGATATTTTTATTAGCACCTGCAGATAACCATCCACACCTTCATCCTTTCTGACTATTATTAAACAGTTAATAGTACTAAAAAGATGCCCTTTTAAAATGTATTTACTTAATAAACCTAATTCGTATGGTGTCAAAATCGTAATAATGTGATCCAGCCCTTCGAAATATATAATTGATGCTATTTTTTATTTAGCTAAAAAAACCAATACAAATGGTTTACCGTTGGGAACATATTTGTAAGGAACTTACAAAATCAATCCATGGTAGTAGTAGAAATATTACCAAGAAAAACTGGTTTTCATCAGTTGCTTAGTAAAGATGTTATTCAAAGATCAGTACAAACTGAGAATTATCGGGACTCTTCGCAAATATAAAAGAAAAATTTCACAGGAATTGTTAAAAGTAAAGAACTCAGACCCTAATACTTTCATATTTTCTTTTAATAAAATAAATACATTGGTATCATACCTGCCAAAGAAAAATAATATACTGATGTCTTTTAGTTAACTAGTGCGTCTGAGTGGAAAATACCTCAATTTCATGTATCGATCATAATTTTTCCAATTTGACTTTGTAAGTTTCTATATGTGTACTTGACATTATTGTTAACGAAAACTTAACAACAGAAATGGTTTTATATCCGATTACACAGGACGAATTATATAAATTTTCAATTAAAAAAACTAAAAAATACATAATCTGGTTTTATAGCAAAATTTTTAATTTATGCAATAATTTTACCTCTTACACATCTTGCCGTGACTTTAAGAAATTTAATTATTTTA